CATTCACGATCGAAATATTGGTTCAACACGGTGCAATATTCATTCAACATTTTCTGCGCACCGCCTTCGCGCATCATTAGGTCCCAGCTCCCGCTCAATAATTTCTGAACGAAGGAAGGCCTATTATATGAAGGGGTAGAACAAAGACAAAAGACCCCAAACATACACAACTGAACATAAACATTACATGGGCTAGAGGAGATAACAGACTGCTCGATGATTTCGGATGAGCAAGTAGATAATCTCGTACAACGTTTTGTGAGTGATCATGGGACTTTGTTCGGGTATTCCTTGATGACCGGACATCGTCGATCATTATAGGTCTCAGAGTTCAACGGGATGGAATCAGAGAGAGTATTGACCGCGTTGACCCTGGACCCGACGATCTTTATTGCAGAAGGAAAAATAAAAATTAGCATTAAAATATTTAGAGAGGAAGAGAGGGTTTTCATTCAGACCCTCTATCCTGGTCGAACTGGAATTTGGAGATGCTGTTATTTTTGCGGGGAGAGGAAACCCTCGGAGCAAGGCGAGAACCAACATCAAACTCATCCCCGGGTCAAACTGGTGGGAGGCGAGGGTCACCGCTGCACCATCTCTGCTCCCCAAGAACTACCTCCGATATTGAATATCGAGTTCGGAAGACCTCCGGGCTGGTCACAGAATACACTGCAAGGTTTGGGCAGTTTGATGAGTCATGTCGTATCTATTCTCCATGCAAAAAACATATATTTCCCAGTATTTCATTCAGTACTGCGCTACAATACTAACGAAATTAAAGGTAGCAATTGCTGGAGAGGTACACTCAAGCCTTATTTGGATCTTCTCTCCCAATCCTACTTCCGCGGTGTTCCATTCCCGTTCGCACTCCTGTAGGAGATCGAAAGTTCCCGCCAATGTAACATTTGTGTTTGGGGTCTTTGGTCTTTGTTCTACCCCTTCATATAATAAGGCTTCCTTCGTTCGCCATATTGCGTTCAGAAATTATAGAGCGTGAGCTGGGACTTAATGATGTGCGAAGGCGGTGCGCAGAAAATTTTGAATGAATATTGCACCGTGTTGAACCAATATTTCGTTCGTGAATGTTAATGAATATAAACCGTTGAATGTTAATGAATACATCCTTTAAATGTGAGTAAATATATTCGTGAATACGAAATACGTCGTTAAATGTGAATTAATATATTTCTTGAACATAAATTTAGTTCTTGAATGTCAATAAATATATTCGTGAATAATAATAACAACATTTTAATGTGAAGGAATATAAACTTTGTGAATTTTGCACCATTTCGCCAGCCATAGCCTGTAATGGATTAATTTCAACGTGTCAAGAGATTTAACCGTTTTCGCACTGTTTCAGGGAAACGCCCAAATCCACTTGAACACGTTCATTACATGTCTAGCCCGCTTCAAAGTGTCGTAAGATGTGTGCAAATGGCACTTAGAAAAACCTGCATTTCGGAAGCTTTTATCTGACCGGAATCCAACTATTTTCTGGCGAATTTCGCAGTCAAGCGTCTCGGCTTCTCGAGAAGTCTCGGATTTTACAGTTTGTCATCCCTATAAGAATAAAACAAAACAAAAAACAAACAAACAAACAAACAACGAAAAAAAAAATAAAATAAAAAAATGAAAAAAAAAAAAACGGATAAGACAAAAGAGAGGCCCAGTCATTTTCTTTCTCCTTTTCTCCCTCACTCAGAGCTCTCTTTCACAGTTTGCCTTTTTCCAAAAGTTGTTGTTGTTATTATTCAGCCTTCCAGTGCTTTAGGTGGCTTACTACAGTTTTTCGGAGACTCAGTAGCGCGCGCTTTGATCGTAAGCCAGACGTCAGTAATAGATAGATTTAGTCAAGCTTATCAGCGGAGCTCCTACACCGGGTTGTTCATAGCTCGATTTAGCTAACCCAGGACAAGCGAGAATTTTGATTTGAGTTTTGTGACTTTGCGTTGAGGTTTTCTGTATATTGCTTGGCCTTTGAATAATCTCAAACTATACAAAACAAAAAGCAGCAAAAAAAATTTGTATACAAGAAAAATGTTTCTCTTGGTTAACTTTAAAACCGGCTTCAGAACAACTATTTACAACAAGTTAATCTGACAAGAGCCCGCGATCCAGCCGAAAACCAAACCCACGAGCAATACCACTAGCCATGAGAACCATGAGAAAATCAACTCATTGGTTTCTTTTTCTTTCCCATATGAGTATGGGGCTCCGCTTGGCGGCTCTTCGGGCCGTCGCAGCTCCACTATTAATCGCGCGTGCAAAAATGACGCTAGTAACCCTAAGAAGAAACGAAAACCACTTCAGCACTTAAAAGGCATTAAATCACTGCGACATACGTAGCAATATTTTCAAACTCCGTTTAAACATGTGTTTAAGTCGAGGGCCAAAAAATATATATATATATGACATAAAAAGCTCGATAGACAACCGTTAATAGAGCTCTAATTTACTCTTGCTTTCTCGCACGCGATACATGGCGTCACATGAGCGCGCGCTTAAATAAAGGACATGCGCAATTCAATTCAAGATAAACTTTGAGAAAAACGTGATTTAACCTGCTAGTGCCCGGTCTCTCCTTAGGTACTTGGTCGTTCATTTTGGCCATATGTTGACGCTTAATTGTTCAAGTTTTACATAGCATGGTAAAAGACTTAAGCAAACAGTAAATAGAGAAATGAAAAACATCTTGAAATATTTTTCAAAAGAGTTAGAAGCTGGGCTGTTTATAATCCATCAAAACTGTAGTAAGCCACCTTAATTTTCTTTCTCTTGTAGGTCATAAAGGTTAATTCCAATGGTGATTTTCTCCTTGTCGAAGTGATTTCGGCTGAACTGAATGGTAATGGCACCTTTAGTACCGCGGTGGATGTAAATCGATTACAGAGCCACCACAGGAGGACAAGGCGCTCATCAAAAGAAACTGGTTTGGACAGCATTAAACCCACGATAAGTCACAAGGTATCAATATTCGAAAGACAGGAAACCCGTAGTCGTCTTACAGGGATACGTCACGGGCCCGTGGTTTCCTGACTACATTAAGAGAGTGATATTTTGAAACCATCAAATGTTCTTCTTTCAATACCCTCCCACTCTCGCCACATATTACCACTACAGTCCTTGCCCAATAATTCATTAAGTCACTCGATCCTTCTATTATTTTGTTCTGGCTTGAAAATAATAATAGAAGTTATATACCCCTGTTCACCGGGCTCTTTTGGTCTACTGGGACCAGGTTGGGATGGGGGATGGGAAGGGAAGGGGGCAACCATGGCCCGCACCATGTTACTATTAGAGTATCAAACAACAACTACAAAAAAAAAAAGACAAAAATAGACGAGGGTTTAAAGCACGTCCATAAATATTTCCTTGAAGGTCCCTAATATGGAGTGTGAACGTCACATGATAAAGCCGGAAATGAGGGATGTGCCATCTTGGGTTTCATTGTTATACGGAAAGTTAAAATACCAGCAAAAATAGTCACAACTAATAAGCCTCATGCTGCGTTTAGACTTTAACGGTTTACCGAGGTACCAGAGTTTACTTAACTAGGTAAACATTTTCCGTGTGTAAACGCCAACTGATACTTTGGTAAATGCCGCAAAAGAGAAGAGAAATTTAACCGAGGTAAAAGTTGTAATGACCCTGTGATCAGGCATGGTTACAGTTGGTAACCAAGGTCAACATGACAGATATATCCGCTTGTGGCGGCGTAATATTTCACTTCCCGCGGTGAGCAGATGGTGCGATTGTCGACAAAGCAAAGCGTCTCTTTTCCAGTTTTGACTAGGCTATCATGGCAGATAATGTAGAAAGATTGGATCGATCTTCTCACGGCGAACAGTCCGTCACGTAAAAGAAAGCATTGTATTTTTCATTCTTAGTATTATTGACAACTTTCTCTAGACAAACTTCGATCCTTTGTTGTGCAATTATTGTCCATATATATTTTGCCACCAGGGAGGATGCTGCATATACAACGTATCCACGTTTCTATGTATATAACCATGCATACTCGGGGTATGATCAAGCAGCTGAATGTTTGCCGCAATATTATGGAATGAAGTCCTCGCCAATGAAAATGATGGCACCTCAATTTGCTCCTGTTTCGCTGCGGTGGGATCCTCGTCCAAGTTCGATTTCATGACTTTGATAATGCGTATGAGTTATTTGAGCCGGTATAAACACTGGACGAATGTACCAAGGTTAAGTAACTTGACCTTAGTAACTGTTTACCTTGGTAAAAGCTCAAATATAAACACAGCATCAGTTATCACAGGCGTCCCAAACTCATGATTCGAGGAATCGATCAAATATTATGATTTATGCAGGCGTATCGAGTGGGACATGACCACCTAGAGTGCGGGGTGTCGTGTTACACTTTGGGCCGTTAAAAATTTGAGCGCTCTAAAAGGCATATGTGTGGAGTTTAAAATAACGAAGGATAAATTCGCGCAAGAAAATAAAATGTTACTTTTTTAGATTAAAATAAAGAAAATATGTTCACCTTGGCTGGTTTCTGTTGTCCATTTGGCCTATTTCATCGTTTTTGGGGGTTTTGAGGTGTTTGTGGCAGGTTTCTATAGACGAAGTTAAGACTAGAGAGAGCTGTTTCGAAAGCCCTGTACCGCGAGGTCGTTTTCTCGCCGAAATTGGAATCCGCTGCTCGATTTCCCCCTCTAACGCAAAGAAGGATAATCCACTTGTCTCCTTTTCCGGTCGGCTTGGAAAAATCTTCCTCCTTTCCTCTCCAATTCGAACGATTTTTGTTTCACTACTGGAGCTTTCAACTTTCCGCCGCAGCTTGTTTCCGTCCTTTCGACTACGGCACAGTTGGAGATCAACATTAGCGACCGCTCTAGCATGACAACTGCGCCTTACCAGACGTGTGCACAGTCAAAAATTTCTCTTAAAATAAGGTAAAATATACCACCCTCTCCCGACGACCCCGCGGAAGCATTTTGACGCCTCATTCTAATTTAAGACCACTAACGTTAATTTCCAAATGTGCCGTAGTCGAAAGGACGGAAACAAGCTGCGGCGGAAAGTTGAAAGCTCCAGTAGTGAAACAAAAATCGTTCGAATTGGAGAGGAAAGGAGGAAGATTTTTCCAAGCCGACCGGAAAAGGAGACAGGTGGACTATCTTTCTTTGCGTTGGAGGAGAAAATCATGCAGCGGATTCCAATTTCGGCGAGAGAACGGCTTCGCTGTACAGGGCTTTCGAGACAGCACTCTCCAGCCTTGACTTCGTCTATAAAGAGCTGCGACAAACACCTCAAAACCCCCCGAAAAACGATGAAAT